AAAATATGAAAATCAAGGAAAATGGTAAACAGGCAAGACAGGCAGTACTCTTAATTGGCTCAGTGGTAACTTTTTACATATGTAGCCATCTATGTCTACAAACAATTAATAAAGTAAACTCACAGTGGGCATGGCATGTACATACATACCATGCCCATCAGCATCGAGTTGTTATGTACACTCACATTTGCCTATTCATGTACGCACAATCAAAAATAAGTTTACTGGATTGCACACCCAGATTTACCAGGGGTGCAAAGAGGGTGTTCACTCCCACTGGAAATAGCTTCACACTCCCCTGAGATTTCCCCCAACTCCCAAGTTGTGAAGGCATTAGCTATTCATTTATTTAATTCCTTGCCTGCAACTACATACCCCCCCCCTCACAAGTTCAACTCTCTCTGGATTTTTCCTCAAATTCCAGCCCTGCTGGAGTGTAGGTTGCACTACTAAATTGGTATGTCATGTTGCCCCTAACAGTATGATGGATTGGACAGCACTGCAAAGTCAGTAAGAAATTTATTGACGCTTTTCTTCTGCTCACCTTCTAACCAAGTGCTTGACAGCTTTTAAGGCTGTACAGAGGATGTGGCTTACACATACAAAACAAAGTGATCATTCTTGAAAAAACATACAAAATGGGTAATTTTAGGAAGAACCCTCTCAAAACATCAAAAGGAGTTTTGCATGCCTACAGAAATCCTCTGAAGAATAAGCATGATCAAATATGCAGAAATTAATTCATTTAGAAAATCAGCATATTAATCTGATAATTTCAAAGATATAAAACTTTGAATGCTTCCCAGACTTAGATATTCAAAATTACAAGAAAAGGGTCTCATTTTATCTAAAAATGTGAACATTGTAAAATTTAAATACAACACTCCAGCATACAACAATGATAAAAAAAGGGGGGGGGGGCAGTTCTAGGCAGTATATACCATTGAGTAAAATGGTGTCCTTAAACACAAGGATGTTGGTAAAGGGAGGCAAAACTAAATGACTTGGGGATATAAAAAACAAGGAGGAAAACGGAGGAGAAAAAGTAATGGTACGCAGAAACCAAATATCTGAAGAAATTTACAATGAATTATAGCCTTCATTAGAACATCTTTCCCAAAACAATATCATCTTAAAGTAACTCAGCAATCACAGCCAGGGTAAGGCAAGTTTATGCATACTGTTATTGATACCTAATGTTATCGATCACAGGTTCCTAATGCCGGACAGTAAAGCTTCTGCTAATGGTTAAGCCTAAATCACTGCTGCTTCTCCACCATCCATCACTTACAAATGTGCACACATGCACAAGTATTTTTGGAATGGTCAACCACAGGATAAGCACTAAGATTTTTTTTTTTAACTATATATTATACTTAATAAACAGGAAAATTTATGCCTTTCCTCATTGATGCCGATCTGACAAATCAACAAATCAGAATATTAAAAACCCATTATGAAGGGGAGAAAGAGTGGTTCATGCAGGGTTGGTTTGTGCTGTGAACATGTGTCAAGGTAAGACAGATGAGCAACAATAATGGTTAAAGCAAATAAATATCTTTAGGGAGCATGAAGAAGTGTGTAACTTGGTCTAATGGATGCTACTGAAACTTTAGCAGACCAAGCTAAAGAAAGCAAGAATGAGGTGGTACCTTCCAAGTCTCGAGCTACAGTAGTGAGAGGCAAGCTACAAGTCGGGACAAGAGATGAGAGTTACCAGCTTTGCCCAAGGCAAGATTGCAATCTTCAGCACTGTGGCTCAAAGAAGAAGCAAACATTCATCCATCAACTATAATCCATCTCCTATTCTGTACTTTTACAAACATCTTTAAGCAAAATGGTTTTGAAATGTTGCACTGATTGGGTCTAATTTTTTCCTGAGAAAAACCTATATCATCAATTTCCTCTCTGATAATCAAGTATCAGAACTTGGGGCATCTTCTGTACACGCAATAAAATTTAATCCAGTATTAAAGTTCAAGCCTCTAATGCACATCCACAATTGCAGCGTTCAGGATTAAATTGAACTCACTTCCAGACTAGACTTTACTTTTGAGCTCAAATCTTAACTCTGCACATGCGCAGAACGAGGTACTTAATACCACTAATCATGTATAGATACGTCATGATGTCATCAACTCCATAGAAAAGATGGAGTCGAGTTGCCATTAATATTTATAAAAAGCATTAACCAAACAAATTTTGACATTTTCATGTCATAGATGTATGAAAATTCATCAATATATATTTTTATAAGCTGTTGGATATTCAAACTGCAGATATAACTGTCAATATTGAAAAGAAAAATAAAGAAAATCCCACAGAATACCAGAGTTTACAGACACACAAAAGGCAATGTTATTTCTTGGTTGGAAAAACACTCCCAACTTTTGCAGTATTTTAATTGAATACCAAGATGATTAGGTTTCAAATTCAAAGTACAAACTCCCTGATTCTTTAAATTACAGTGACTTGAAGACCGCTTGAACATTTATCATGATCCTTGATAGCAACACCCAGAAAAAAAAATACTTTAGCCATGCCTCGCGATCACACGCAAGAAAGAGCTCTCAAGAAAATCTCCCCCAATTATAACTTGATATTACAAGTACTTCATTTTTTGTTTGTCACCTTCATTTCAGTTGTCTATAATATTTATAGGCTATTTGAAGCCATTTATATAATTGTATTTGTACTGCCACATATATATCAGCATAATATAATACTAGCATGTGTGTTTACCTATATTTTTTTTTCCTTTGTAGCAAAAATCTCCTTAGCGACATAAGATATAATGTGCTTTTTCATTTAAAACAGCAGATTTCCTGATAATCGTATTGACTTGTGAGCCTGGCAGTGTGTCTTGCATCTTCTGTGCAAGTACTGTGGATTTGGATTAACTTTAATCTGGAATTAACTCTTATGACACTTACAGAAGACGACTTTAGTGTTCGATTTGCCAACTTTCCTATTGAATGTCAAACACAACCAATTTAATAAATTTATTCTAAAGCACAATACAACTTCAATACTACAAAAACACACAAATATGGTTACTCAAACATGAGTGCAGAGTTTTGAACCATTGCACACTAGTTGGTACATCAATGTTGCTTTTAATTTACATCCTTACACATTCAAACCAAAACCAGATATACAGCTATCAGTAAAAAAAAACTAAAAACTCCATCTATAGCTTCCACATCCCACTCATTTGCACTTTTCCCTTTCCAAGTACCTGTTCATTTTCATTTACATTTTTTATCGTGCCCTGTGAACTTACTGAAATTTCAAGCTTTCAACCTTTGTCAGGAAAGTAAACAAAGTTGCATATCTATAATAGCTATGACGGCATGTAAAGTCAGCCCATACTTTTAACTTCATGTTCTGATGTCTAATTACTCTTGCTGCAACCATGGAAATTGTGAAACTGGAGAAAGGTATTCATGGCCTTATGATGGAAGGAGATTTACACCATTTCTTTAATTGGTCTTTTCTCCTTTCTGAGGTGCTTCCTTCAAGTCAGACAGAGGCCATACCTCATCCATGTATACCATGCTGGTACATGAGCTTTGGTGACAAATTAAATCAATATCTACTGCTTCTGATGGAGAAGCCAGATCTTGGCTTGTTGATTCCTCATCTGCCAAAGGACCATGGAAGAGTAGTACTATAACCATTGGAATGATATCTTTAGCTTTCTATGGATTTAGTTCTCCTATAATACTTGATATAGTTTTTTCCCCACAGGTAGGGACAATGTACTACATTTTGCATGAAAGGTTTCTGTAGGCAGAAAAAAAGGGTTCTAAGCATTTTCAATGGATCATACATTGAGGATAAGAACCATTCTTCCTCTACAGTTAGTTGTATATTGGCATGTATATCACAGAAAGACAGCTGAGGATACTTTTGTAGTGAACATTCTCAGGAAAACCAGGACTGCAGATTTTGGTGCCATATTATTGGTACTACTCTTCATAATGTTTGTGCAAAAAAGAACCTGAAGTTTATCTAAGACTTCACAAATTAGTGTTTCTTACGACGATTTAAGATTCAAGTTTCCTTGCCTAGAAATTATTCACTCATTCCTTGTCGGTTTCAAATGCAATCCCTTACACTGCTGTCTCTCAAATTCACACATCCTTCTCAATCTTCAACTTATTCTCTCTCTCGCTCTTTTTCTGTCTCTGTCTCTCTAGAAGAAAGAAAAAATTTGGGCCCTAAAGCCAATGTGCCGTTACAACATTCATGTGGGGTTAAGGGAAACACGAAACCAGAAGCCACTCTTTAAATGTCCATGCTCGTAAATCTCAATATCTACTTGGACATGTAACTATATACTTACCTGCCCAAAATTAGTCTTGATTAGAAATCTTTGATAAGCATTTCCTCTTTTTGGAAAAACAAGGTTCCAACAACCTATCTTAATAACTCTAGAACGCTGACAACACACTGGCGTACTACTGATGAAATGAGTATTTTTATCTTCCCTTGAAGATGAGTAAAAAGCCAACTCTGCATCATGAGACTTGCAATCAAAAGTACTATAGAGTAACTGCTGCTTGTATTGCAACCTACCATCCTCCAAGTAACTGAAAACTTAGTTTCATACGGTATGAAACTATCAAATTATCTCTTGCCATTTTCACTATACAATTTTTATTCATGGCAATTAGAACCAACATCACCAATGCCACAAATACATATGTTTTAAATAGAGAACTCAACATCATGTGCATGTGGAGCTCTACATGAACTTAATTTGTTTAATTTTCTCTAAAAGAAAAAACAGCTTCAAGTAAACCTTTCCCTTCTGCTAAATACAAACAAAAATCCAATCCCTTGACAACCATAACACTACTGTTCATGTGTTTACACTGGGTCTCATGACCATTCTCACTTCAATGGAAGATCAATAACACTGAAGGAACCTTGTTTTTCTATTCAGCAAGTAATAAATCTCAGCAGTTTAGGACAGCTTTACTAAGAAAAGTTACCTGGTACGTCTTTTTCCTAACAGGAAGGGCCTGAAATGGGAAGAACCACTGTAGGAAGTAGTAAATCTTCCACATTCATTGCAAAATAATTATAGGAAACAGTACGGGCAAAACTAATCTTCTCTTTCACTTTAACTTACTGGAACTTGATATTTCAAAAAGGACTTGGTTGTACCCAAAGATCAGCAATCTGTTGGATTTTTTCTCCTCTTTACAACTTATATTTAAGCTTGCCCTTACTCAACACTGTTGTTGTAAATTGTGGGAAACCAAAATGAATAAATAAATCAATATAATAATCACAATCATTAAGAATAATATGAAAAACAAAATATATCAAAATATAAAATGTAAAAAATAATTACAAATCATGTATAATAAATAAATGATCAAGAAATATCATAAACCAAGGTAAACCAACCATAAACAAATGCAATCATCCACAACAAAAATGTGTTTTGTAGAGGCAGGAAATGGATAGATCTGATAAATGCATTACAGCCAATCTGAGAGTTCTGGTTCCATTCTGTCTAATTATCTGTCCCACAAATTCATTTTTTACAGAAGATGCAACTCTAAATGAAAAGGTTACAAATCTGTGCATGAATATGAAACTTCAAAATCATGTAAAAGTAGTGCTCCCCTAACCAAAAGTCATTTACGTGAATTGTGTAATCTTACTACAGTAATGATCTCAAATGTTGTTGCAGTTAAAACAAAATACAAAATTCAACCACATAGCCACAAAATATCTTTTAAATGTATATAAAAAATACTTGATGAAAGGGCCACTGTACTCACCAATGCGTCATCTACAACAACCTCAGGGAAAATTCTTCTAAGGACGGCACGAACCTTCGTCTTCTCCTCTTCCACCTCGCCAGATGCCTCCTTTCAAAACCAGAGAAATATTCTTGTAAGTTCATGTTAATCAACCAACTTTCTACATGCACACAAAACATACACTCACACAAATGGACAAACAGACGCACGCACACACACATGCACAAAGTCACACACAACACACACACAACACACACACACACACATATGCGCAAAGTCACACACAACACACACACACACACACATATGCGCAAAGTCACACACAAAACACACACACATATGTGCAAAGTCACACACAAAACACACACACACACACACACACACACACATGCACAAAGTCACACACAACACACACACACACACAACACACACACACACACACATATGCGCAAAGTCCACAACACACACACACACACATACACACACATATGCGCAGTCACACACAAAACACACACACACACACACGTTATTAATAACAGATATTATAAATAAAGTATATTTCAAAGACAGTTTGCAGCACCAGAAACAAAGAAGGTATCTACTTAGCATCAAAATCTGCCCTAACTAGTTCAGAAAATTTCTATTTGAAATGCACTATACTATGGTATATACTAAGAATGTGATACGGGAGTCAAACAATTCCAACATTTGATAGATATAAAACTAATGTATTAATTTCCAGTTTGATCAATTTTACATCTTTTCTTACAACTTCGCAAAGTTAATCCAATGCTGCTGGGAAAAGGTAATGTTCACTGTAGTATTGTTCTGTGAAATTTATCAACACAGGTGGCTTCAAACATGCTTCTCCTTCCTTGATATTTTTTTTTTTTTAATGTTTTTGTTTCTAATGCTATTATTATTGATGCGGTTATCATCATCATTAGTGTAATTAACAATATTAAAAGCTATATATATAAAAAAAAAAATTAAAAATCAAAGGAAAAGGGTAAATAGGCAAGATAGCTAGGCTTAGTAAGAACTCCTCGTGAAGCCGTCTGTGTAAATACAATTAATAAACTAAATTGACTTGTATGTCATTCCCAGCAGCATTGGGTTAAATGCTGACAACTATAATTAAAAACTGGTTTACAATTACAGTCTTAACCATATTTGTAGTTTTAATAACAGATAATCACTTCCCCCCCAAAAAAAAAAAAAAAAAAAAACCATACGCACACCTTTCTGAATTTAAACAGCTTTGATACTAAATTTTGACAATTCTGGTACCTAAACTTAATAAAATCTAAACCTAATACAACTACTAGTTTAAATATGCATTATTCAACCTAAGACTAAATCAACTTGCATTGCAGGTACAACATTAAATACACATGTTAGTGCTACACAACTCATCACTTTAATTGTTAAAGTGTTTAATAAATTTTGAAATCAACACTTCATGCACCATACGTCTAGTCTTAACTACAAATGTCTGTCTCCTAGATGTTCATATTTTTGTTTTATCTCCATCCTATCCAAAACTGAGGGAGGCTTGTTGCAGCAGTGACCACATGCGCCAAGTACTAATATAACAATAAACCAATTGGATCCAGCTGACAAACATGTCATGAAAAAAAAAAAGGCTGACGGCCAGGTGATGAGAATATGCTATCATGAAAAATTCAGCCAAGGACTGAGGTAACAGTAATGACTTGTGATGAGTACACAAAGCTCTTGGAGGAAGATTAGACTCAGTGGGTATTTAGGAAGGGTCTCTTGCATTATTTCCACCAGTAAATGAGGGTGGAATGTACCACCTGTGAGCCATGGCTGGAAGTGCACTACCACGAAGGAGAACACCATTTCTGTGCTCAGGATCATATTTCTACCCATCATGACTTGCAGCACAAGATAGCTAGGGCATGTTAGAGAAAACCTCGTGCAAAAATATATATACATACATAAAAAAAATTATGTTACTTTGTTATTACTGCACAGTTATGGATTACCTAGAAGAAAAGAGCCTATCATCTTCATACAGCATATCAAATGGCAAATATAGACCTCAGAATATGGCAAAAAAATTTATGCAGAAAAATAGATAACAATGCAAAAGGGAAGGGCACTCAACGAGGGTGCGCGCGCACACCAGACCTACAAGCTACATACCCCAAAGTCATCCGTTTATGAGCGTCTAAAGATTGGATTTTGGTCCAGGTATAGGTTGCTAAGAACCCAGATCTAGCAGGTTAATAGGTCTACTGGGCAGTCTTTTGTCTTTACATTATCCCACTGCCGCCAGGGAAAATGAACAAAAAATGGGGAAAATGCGGTGCCTATTTTCTCTATTTTTTTTTTTTTGTGAAATGTCTGACCATAGATGGCTTTGTTAGTGCCTGATTTGAAATGACGGGAAAACGTATTTTTCACTAGTGCCATGAATATCAATGGTGTTATTTTTATTATAAACATTATAATTTGCAAATAAGTGAATAAAAATAATCAGGTGCCTGAATCGGGTTGGTTATCTACATATTTATGGCATCTTTAGCCTACAGTAGCATCAACAGGTTGCATTTTTTAACAGAAACGCATGAAAAAGGTTCAACAGCCGTTTAGACTATTTACGAAGACCATGCATAAGGCCAATTTCCAAAATTACATATTCTTTTATTTGAGAGCGGGTATCAGTGTGTATTTTCATCTTCAGCATAAAATATCTGATATTTCACTTATATTTCTGAAGTTCAAAGATCTGCCTTCAAGATGCCCTTTACATTGAAAATGCTCTTTACAATGGAGAAAAAAAATAAAATAAATTTAAAGCTGAAACACTGACTATTACAGTAGAGCCAAATTGAAATATTCATACTTTTTTTTAACATTACTACTATGCACTCGGTACACATACGGACCCTTTTTATAAAATATACAGAATATCAGGGAGTCTCAATGAAAAATAGATTTCGTGTGTAAATGTACACGAAACTTGTATCTTAAGAAAAATCTCAAAATATTTTAGCTTTTTCTGATATTGGTATAAATGTGTTCTTTGGACATTTACACTACTATCAATGTGCAACTCCATTATCAAATGTCATATGGAAGCTTACAACAAATACAAGACAGTTGTACCTGGAGCTTATTACCTGCATACATAGTTTACCTGTTGGCGCCTATGCCCTTGCTCCTAACAGTCATTAGGTAGTCTCCCGATGTGTGGACATGTACCATAGGCTAGCTAACTCCAAATCACCCGCTTTTTCCACCCCATCACCAAGGAACAAATCAGACAATGTACACTAACATGGAGCCAATTTAGGAATCTTTACAAAATCAAATCAACATAGGCCCACTATAAGCAAAATACATATTTCTTGCATTCATACAGTCCTCTAAACTTGAAAGCAATTTGCTATCTTCCATAGTTGCCTATTTTATCTCTAGATCTCCTAATCGCATTACTGCATTTACATGGAAAAATGTATAATTCTCCCAATAACACCGCTACCAGTCTTATGTAACCTCCCACTCAAATCCTTAAAAATAGATAAAATCATGTTTGCCTGTCCAACAGTGACAGAATAAATGAAAAAATACAAAAATAAAAAAAATTCAAATGGGACTATTTGTCTGCTCTTGGTTAAATTTTCTGTTGAATAAATATTATCTCCTGTCTCGGCAATAAATTTAGTCTCATAATACATTCCAATTAGAAGAAATCCTCTTATTAGATTTACAAAATTTGTCATCTGAAACTGTTCCTATAATAAGATATACTTGCTCAATTAGTGACAATTTAGGTAATGTCTGCATACCAAACAAGATTATATTCTAATTTGTTTTTTCTTATTTGTTATTGAAATTGTCCCATGAACCAACACAACTAAGTAACAAAAGATTTCCCCTTCCTAACTCAATAAAATATTCTTTAACTTGAATCTATTTCCTGGGCACTACTCTAGGTATGGTTGGCACACTTCAATGATGGGTACATCTCAATATCTCATTCTCGTGAAAAAAAATAAACTGACCAAACTACTAGAAATACAGTGAAGTAATGACTGACTACCTGATGAATTAGTGAACTCATGAAACCATAATTCAAGTTATCTATGGATATATCACCAAGTACTGAGCCTTAGGCAAGAAATTTGAAGCCTAAAGAGGAAAATAACTAGAAATTTTGTTATGCACTGAAAGCAGATCCCCAAAAGAATGTCTGTCTATTCAAGGTAGCTGGGAGAATGAAAATAGCTATATGCAAGCAACAGGGAGAACCACTTCACCAAATAAAAAAAGGGCATAGTAAATGTTAGTTTAGCAAGGAATTGCTGTAAAAAGGGACAAAGATGGAATGAGCACAATGAGAAATTCTTTGCAGGTGTATACACCTGTCTGTAAAGGTAAGTGCAGGTTTAATCACCACTGTCTTCATATTCTAAACTTTATTCCAATATATGATGCATCACTAAGATAGCCAAGTGTTTAACCCTTTGCCTCCAGAAGAATTTGGGATGTGCTTAGCCTTGACTTAGCCTTGGATTCTGGCACAGCCAACTGGGCTTACCTCCAGAGCCTATTTCGGATTTGGCTCAGGCATTATCCTTAATGCACCACAGATTTCTTTGTGTTACTTGTTTCCATAACATGAATGATATTTAGAGATGCATAAGTATCATTTTAATTGGATCTGGTTGCTTCACTGCAATCATATGGCAGAAAATACAGGAATTAAGTTTACGTAAGTGACTGCCCTGACGGGCGCATAGCTTGTAGGCCAGGTGAGTGCAAACACTCGTGTGTAGTAACAAGACTATGCCTTTCCTTTGTAAGGTTATTCTCTTTTATGCACAAGTATTTTTTTTTTTCTTACCATTTTCCAAATGTCCATACACATGATTTGTTTTATCCAGATGCTAATAGATTGTTTTTCTTTACAGAGACTCCATATCTTTCTAAGTAGCCCATACACATAGTACAAAAAGTAACATTTTGTTTCGTAATTTCTTATGTAATATTTAATTTTCTGTAATACAACCTGCAACCCCATTCACAGTGGGCAGGAATAAGACCCTGATCATGGAAATGGTGTTCTCCCTGGAGCTAGTGCTCTTCCAGCCATGGCTTATGGACAATCATATTGATGGAAATAATGCAAAAGCCCTTCTAAATGCAGTAATTACCCTCCAAGGGATTTGTGCACTTGTGGCGAGTCTGTCCTGGCCACCAGCCGAAGCCCTCACAACGGCAAGTTCACATCCTCATGACAGTATGTTCACGTTACCTGGCCCTCAAGCCGAATTTTTTCATGACATGATGGTCACATCATCCAGAACATAGGGGTTAAGCATTTGACTATAAAAAAGGTGGAATGAGGTTTTATCGAGGAATAAAAAGCAGGATTTTTCATTTATGAAAACCCAATTCTTACAAAATATATGAAATGCTATGCAATTATATATATGGCTGCTATTTCCATCGTTTCAGGACTTTCATTTTGCGTCATACTTCAAGAGAGTCACACTGGCAGAGCATTACATGACAATCTGGGTAGCTGACGTGAGGAGACCGACCATGTAAACTAGAGTAAAAGTTACTTACAGGTTTACAGCAGCACCAAGAGAGCAAAATTATTAGTGCATGATATCTTCCAGGGATAGAAGGCAAAGGAGATGTATATTAATCCCTTGGATCCAGGTTACATAGCCATGTCAAAAAATATGGCTTGAGGGCCATTATATTAATCCCTTGGATCCAGGTGATATAACCATGTCTTAAGGCTTAAGGTCGGGGTGACGGGAACATACCAATGTGAAAATTTTGGCTGAATGCCTGGGTGAAAAGAATGACTCACCCTTAGTGCACAAAGCTCTTGCAGGGTGATTAGCCACTTAGAGGCATTTAAGAAGGGGCTCTTGCATTATTCTTACTGTTAAATGAGTGGAATGTACCATCCATGAGCCATGACTGGAAGAGCACCAGCCCCAGGGAGGATACCATTTCCATGCTTAGGATCCTATTCCTGTCCCCCACCACGACAGGCATAAATTATTATAGAAAAGAGAATATTTGCCCCCAACCCTTTCCCCATCTCAAAAAAAAAAAAAAAAATCCTTGTTACTATACTGCACAGTTATGGACTGTGCAAGGAAAACAGACCATTACATCTTGATACAGCATATCAATGACAAATACAGACATTGGAAAATGGCAAAAAAGCACAGGATGCTTTTGCAGAAAGTGAGAACATTGCAAAGGGGGGGGGGGGCAAGGGGTCTTGAGTGTTTGTGTGGGCTGGGCCTACAACCACACACCAAAGAGTTCTCACACAAGTAAGCCTAATGCCCGGATTTTGGGCCAAGTGTGGGCAGTTAAGCACCAGGATCCAATGGTTTAATATCTCGGCTTTTATGTAAAATAACGTCGTCCTATATTCCCCTACAGACAGTGCAACCAAGTCAGCCATGACAAACTACACGTCCTATGGAGGCAATGGGTTATTTTGATCATATGTACTTTCTTCTCTCTTCTTTACTACATAAGACTACTCGCTATAAATTGCTTATAAAGAATATATTTAAATAAGCAGTTAATTATTTCTTATCAAACTTATCAAACTTGGGCACGATCACTATACTAAACTTCTATTTGGTCTCGAGACTAATCACAAGTCTCTTGCAAATATGTGAAGTCTTGACTTCTGTGTTCCCCCACTTGCTATAAAACGGTCAAGACTTTCGTCAAAGGAATTACATAATTTTTTTTTTTTTAAGTGTACTTTGTGGTTAGACACATGACAATCAGAATCTACTGGACAATTGCAGAATATACAACAGCTCTTCATTGAAATTCCAAAAGTATATAGCTCTTCAAATCAATGTCTAAATTTAATAAAAAAATTATTTTGTTTTATTTATTTTCCCTTCAAATCAAACCAAGTAGAAAAAGTATATGCAATTTTAGGTAAAAGCAAAAGCTACTTTGCAGTTTAAATATAAATTGTTTAACAAATGCACTAAAATTCAATGCTTAACAATGACTTGAAACCAACATCATGCTTGTAAAACTTCAAGTCCTGGATTGAAATGTGAAAATACACAAGTGGAAACACCCCTCAACTTGTGTAAAGAAAGCCATTCTATATAAAAATCACAATATAGTTTTGAGAAAAACACCTGCTTTCACTGAGCTGCTAACTGGTTGAGATACATATTTCAACCAATCAACAGTTGTGTCCAATAAATAGCCAAGCACTGTAATACAAGATAAGCTCTTTCATAATAGCATCCTCTTTCAAGCAGCAGCATCTGTAGATTCCCTATCTATCTAGCATCATATTAGCTTTGGTGTGTTAACTGCAGAAGCTTGCTTACTAACAGAAGGGGCAGCACTTACATCCACCTGCTTGAGTCTAGCCATCAATTTTTCCTCTGTGCTTGTTAAGGCCTCCAGGACTTTGTGGTTCTTTTCTCGTAACTCCTACAGGGCAAGGATTAACATATACTATTAGACTTCACTGACATTGGGCCAAACATATTTAATGAAAACTAGCAGCATTGAGATACCTCTACACTTTCAATATTATTCATCAAGTATTATACTTTCATAATCATTAGCAAAGGCATCCAAGCCCCAAAATGTAAAGAACAATGGAATGGAAATTCTAAATAAGTAGACATATGTGGGTATACATAAAGAGAAGTAAAGTGGACACACAAAGCTAATCGGTGAAAGTCATGTCAGGCTACATAAAATCATTTTGTACAGTGCTGGCATCCCTCAACCAGTTTGTCCTGGGTTATTTCCCCAGGATTAAAACCATTCCTTTATATCAAGGCTTCCAAATGCTCTTTCAACTTGTGAAAGGATAATATGGACACTGGTCTTATCTTCAGAGATCTCTTCTTTAGATCTTTCTATTGTCTGAATTAACATTCATGTGTAACCAATTACATTTCAGCTTTTTTTCTTTGCATCCATTTTACTCCAGCAACAGAAGTAACTAATCTAACATGATGTATGCTATAAATGAAAATTGTAATTTCTCATCCCCTTAGTCTTGAATGCTCATTTCCAATCTGAAGAGGTTTAGAAGGATACCAGCATTACCCAGACAAAGCCCAGACACTAATGCAAAACATGCATATCAGCCTAGAGTGTTTGAAGGATCAATTTCAAGAGGCACAGGCAAGGGTAACAACACTAAAGGTAGTGGAAAAGGTTTGCATATTACACTACTTTCAAGAAGAGGTACTCTTACTTCTCCCCATTTATTACATGAAATGGCATTCAAGGATCTAGGATCATTCATGAATCAAGGACTGCCCCTACCTTTAGATTAGGGCATAGACTCAAGCAACTTTCAGGCTCACATTCCTAGCAGAAAATGGAAGGTAACAGACACGAAGTTACAGTACACAAAGACTGCAACATCTTTTCCGAAGGCATAGTATCAGAGCAACATGCTAATAATCTGTTCTACTACACAAGATCAAATATTTGAAAGAACTACAGGAATAATAATAAAATCAATATTCAAAGGAATACTACGGCTGTGTATCCATACAGACAAAATGAAACTAAAAATCTAACAGATCCAAAGACCCAGATACCACAAGAATACATAATACATAATAAAAATGTGTACATACTACGTTGAAAAGTGTAATATGATGAGACATTGAAGATTTTTCATCACAGCCATGCAAAGTCCATCAGGAAAATGATCATAAAGAAGTGCAGTTTTAGAGAAAAACTTAAAACCAATACTCACATTGTTCTTTGCTTTCTGATTATCCAGTTCTTCTTTTAATCTTGCAATTTCCTTCTTCAGGTTTGATACCTCACTTATTTGTTGTTCTATTTGGATCTCTCTTTCCTTAACTCTGTAATTGCCATAAATAATTGTATGCTTTTCAGTTTCCTTAGCTAATAAATGGCCAAAATGAACAAGTAAAACTAGGATATAAAAATAAGGAACATCAATTACTATTTGTACTAAATCAAAAGTTTTTAATATTCATGAAAAACAAACAAATTAAGGTCTCACAATGATTCTAAGTGGGCGGTGGATGGGCCTTGGGTTTGCTCTGCATGAACATCACCATTTTCTTGACCCTCAGCTGCTGGACGGACACTCTGAGATGCCAAAGACTCCTTTTCCTCTTTTAAGCGTTCAATCTATAAATGAAGAAAAAAAAAAAAAAGCATGGTTCTTTATATAAATTTCATAAAGCTTATCAAATACACTGACAAATCTCTGGGTTTCTGACTTGTATAGCAGCAGGTGATATACAAGACCTGAAGCATGTGAACTTACTTCTGCAGTCTGGTCTAACACCACCTGTCGTACACTACAAAGTTCACCCTCTATTTGGGCTAATCGCGACTCCACCTTTGTTTTCTCCTGTGCTGATTCCTACAAACAAATAATTGTTGCAATATTTGGTTTCAAAATAAATTAGAAAATCTACATTTTATCCAGAACCAACAATTATGAATCACTACTACAAACACAAGGAAATAAAAATATGCACTACTTTCATAAAATCACTGACATACCTGAAGTTTGTGCTGTGTTTGTGCAGTTTTTGAGGTTTCATTTGCTAGTTGCACATTAAGAGCTTCTCGCTCAGCACTTGCAGCAGATGCCTCTGCCAAGGCTTGGGCTCTCTGGGCATCAGCACTTGCAAGATGTGCCTGCAGCTCTGTGATTTGTGTAATTCTACTGGCATTTTCACCTGCTCTCTTTTCATCAAGAGCAGCAATGTGCTCTTCATACTGCTGGCATCTCCTTGTTAATTCTTCATGCTCTTGTCTCAGCACAGCCGTCTGCATTTCTGACTCGCTGAGGGAAGCTCGCAGTGTTGCAATTTCTGATTCATTATTCGTGCTCTGCAACTGCTGTAAAATCTTTTGTTGCTGTTGCATTTTAGTCTGGTATTCCTTCTCTAGAGCTGCCTTCACTTCATTCAGACGTGCATTCTGAGATGACTGGGCATTTGCATTTGCATTCTCAAGTTCACGTGAGTGACTTGCAACAGTGTCATCCAATTGAGCCTTCAGCTTCACTGCACGAGAACGCTCACAATTCAGCTCCGTACGGAGGGCAGTAATCTTGGCCGACAGTGCAGAGTGAGCTTCATCCTTCTCCCTCAAGCGGGTTTCCACTTCCTCCAACTGTCGCCGGAGCTGAGTTGTGGGATCAACACGTCCCTTCTCGACCCATTCACCACCAGCATTGTTCTGCTGCTGCTTGTTCAGCAGGATATCAATCAGAGTTTGAATCTCTCCACTGCTCAGGTGAGCATCTTGCACAAGGGGCAGAATTCTGCTCTCTTTTGGACCTAAAATTGAATAGGGAACATAAAATAAACACTACCTCTATAATGTAAAAGTCAATCAAATTTAAATACTGCCAAAATGTATTCTACCTTATTCCAGGAATGAAAGGAAAATATTAGTATGGCCAAAATATCAACACTAATGCTTGATGCCACTGAAGTACAATACACACAATCATTATACATACTGAATCTTAAAAATACATACTGTCACAAGATTCAATCATTAGTGTAACCAACTACGCACACAAACACACGCACACACATCTACAGGCACTTGTGGGTGAAGATGAAGGAAAGGGGGAGTGAGAAAGGAAGGAGGTTGTCAAATATTTCACATCAGTACTGTAAGCTTAGCATATGGTCAGTCAACAAGTTTACACACTATACAGTTATGCTCAGTCACTTACCTACTGACATGGTTTATTTGTTATATTCATTTATAATTTCTTAGAGCAAAACATTTTATATAAACTTGTAATGATACTGTGTATTATTATCTATTCTACATCATTTGAACTTCTAGAATTTTCATTAATATTTTCTTAGTCTACCACTATCATCAGCTCCATATTCTATCAGCTATCATGCAAGTTTCATTTTCATTCTCACTTCCACTTATCACACTGTCCTGAATAAGCAATTTTCATTATAGTTATCCACTGGGAATCTGCCTCATCACAAAAGAGGTCAAGTAAGACTAATGCTTGTATTTTGTCGCACTTTACAACTATTGTCAATCATACTTATAGGGTGATGTGTTGGTAGATTATTCCAAATTATTATTAGGCAGTGCTGTGAACTTTCTACTATCTAATTGAAGTCCAACAAGGAACAGGGCAAGTATTCTCTACTGATGACTAAACTGCCTCACAGTCTTCATTAACCTTGTAATGCAACACTTACCAAACACTTTATGCAGAATAAGTGAACATATGATGGCTTAGTCTCCCATGCAACCATTATTGACCAATATCTTTATAATAATTATTTCCCTCGTGTGAACACAAAATTCAGCTTACCAGGAATATCAGTCTTCTGTTTCTCTTTTTTCTTCTTCTTCTCTTGAGTTGGTGTAGCCTTTCCTGTTGAGTTCAAAGTCCCATCTACAACCTCAAAATTATCTTCAGCCTTAGGGCGGGTTACAGGCGTTACAACCTGCAAGTCAAAGGAACATGTTTATGTAAAATGTCCTAAGAAACTTACCCCACTTGCATTGGGTAGAAGTGCTATCCTCTAGTTTTGTATTCCAACCCATACACAAAAAAAAACAAAGGACTTCACAAGTAAAAGAAAGTTAAATCCAAATACTGTCAGCATCATCATCCCCAAGATCATGGCTTTCTGCACAATGTGCACCTAATTCTTTTCACCACATTCATTGATGGCCTGTCAAAAACTGGCAGGCTTTCTGTAGCTTTTTAAATATGAATGAGATGTATGCAGTACCCACTAATATTTTTAGTGTGTGGCAAATTTCCTTCAGCTACACCCACATTAGCTCATACCCCCCCCTGCTACTGTTGCTGTTGGTCCCCTTCTTGAGCCAATCACACAATTGCATTCTCCTGCATCCTTTTTGAATGGAACTCAAGTGAAGTAATTCTGGCACTGTATGGCAATTTTCATCCAGCCAAATCCTTAATCTTTCCCTCTCCCACATTACCGATTAACACACCATACCATTAGATATGAATCAGCACATATGGAGCCATCTATGAGTAAACCTCCTCCATAAACTAATATGAATACAAGCTTTCCTAGCATCAATGGGGGCACAAAATTGAAATTATTAGTTACTGAAATGAGAGAATACGGTGTGTGTGTGTGTGTGGGGGGGGGGGGGTGAAAGTTCAACTTACCTTTTCCTTCTTATTTTCTTTTCCCTGAGGAGGAGGGGTGGATTCTGGAGCGGCCTTGGTCTTTGCTGCCTCTGTCTTGGCTGCCTCTGTCTTGGTCTCCTTGGCCTTGGTGATCTTTGCTGCTTCAGCTTTTCCCACATCAGCCTTTGCTGCCTTTCCTTTGGCTAGTTCAGCCTTGGCAGCTTCGGTCTTAGAAGTTTCAGTCTTTGCAGCCTCTGCCTTGGCAGCCTTTGACTTTCCAACTTCAGCCTTTGGGCTTTCAGCCTTGGCTTGCTCTGACTTGGATGCCTCTACCTTGGAAGTCTTTCCTTTAGAAGACTCCACCTTCACAGCATCAGCCTTCGGGCTTTCAGCCTTGGCCTGTGAGGACTTGGCTGCTTCTGGCTTAGAGGACTTCCCCTTTGCAGCTTCTACTTTCACAGCTTCAGCCTTTGTCACAATAGTTTCAGTTACCTCCTCTACAATGATCTTACGAGGAGTTTCATCATCCTCCTTGTCTTTCTTCTTTTTCTTCTTCTTTTCCTATAAGAAAAGAGAAAAAAGTTGAGCCAAAACTATTTACAAAAAGGTTGAAGAGACCAAGAGAAATACAATTTATATATTTAGTACATGAAGTTTGTAAAGGCCTCCTCTACACACAATACTTTTTTTGTCAAATACAACTATCGCATATTGGATGAAGCTTTCGTTAACAATTTAACTACAAGACAATGAAATGGCAATCTCTAGACCTCGTAACTGACTCAGCATCTTGTGTACTACCAGGATTGGTCAACAGGACGGAGCAGGGGCAGTATTCACAAAAGCTCTACAACTGTTCTTTGCTTTTTAGCTTAGATTTTGCACTGGCACATCTCAAAGCTTAATAGAACAAACATTTACTACATTGTAGATCCTATGCTGAAAATCTATTCAAAAAATATGATAACCTGCGATACCAGTCATGACAGGTAGGAATAGGATGCCAAGCATGGAAATGGCAGTCTTCATGGAGCTGGTGCTCTTCCAGTTATAGCTCATGGACACTACATTCCACACTTGTTTATCAATGGAAATAATGCAAAAGCCCCCTTGTAATGCCAAATGAGTCTAATCACCCTACGAGAGTTTTGTGCAATCATGGCTAGTCTTTCCCCATCACCCAAAGCCAGATTTTCCAATGACGCCATGTTCACATCACATTCTACAAGCCAATGTTTTTCATGATGTGGATTAATTGATCCATTTCTTGCATATTTACTGCAATTTTCTATTTGGAAAATACAAATGACACCATGTTCCTTCACAACTGATGCAATAACAGTTACACTACTTGGAATGTGTAATATCCTCTTCATTATATATATTTATTGAACTCTAGAGTATTGTATTATTGCCATCAAGTACTGTCAAAGGGTCTGTAAAAAGGTCAGCGTTTCTTCTAATTATCAGTGCTGCAAATTATAGACAAAATTGCGAAGAACAATCATAGACCTTTGTGAATTCCATCCACGTCATACTTCCCAGTCATAAGAGTGAAACACCGTTACATATCCTGCTTCCTCCCCCCTCTCTCATGCTTATCCCTGCAGCCCTACCCCCCTCTCTGCCCCATCTCAGGCCTTTCTTTACCAAGACAACTATGGCTCACCTCAGGCCTTTTATTTGATCTCTACAACTGATGGTTGAAACAACTACAACAATAAGTATGCATACACCAAGTTCATTAGCCATTAAAAAAAATATATACAAGTGAGATATAAAAACAATCCTTTCCATTAAAAGAGCTCTCAAATTACAAGATTTTATAAAATCTGTATCTTCATTCCCTTTGTAAAGCCCTATTTCAGAATAATAAACAAGCTTCCATCCCATGCTATGCTTCAAATGCATTTCCAAATTTACTAACCTACTTTTCTCCCTTCACATGAGAAAAAATTTGTCCACTCTCACCTGCTGGGGTTGGGGAGAAGCCTCGGGTTCTGTAGAAGGTGGCGTGGTGTCCGGCTCTGTAATTACCTCCTCTACTTTTGTTGCCGATGCTGGTCCATTCTGCTCAAAGTCATCCTTCCTGACCTTTGGCTTCTTTTGCTGGAAGGAAGACAATGGTATATACTGGCTACCTACAAACCCTATATATATATATTCATTTGAACAGGGAGGGTGAACAAAGCAGAAAAATAGAAAAAGGGGAACAGGAAACAAGGAAAGAAAGCAGAAACTGGATAGACAAGGATGAAGTAAAAAATATAAAGAGGAAAAAACAGAAAAAGTTCTCACAAATAATCAATAAACAATACCCAAAGGGAAAGTTGGAGGAAGTGAGGTAAATAAAGTCACTTGCTATTCTTAGCCACTGCATAGCCAAAAAGTGGTGTTAAAACTGGGAGGGGGAGCCACTTTGGGTCAGGAGATTAAAATTCTAGTGAAAATGTATATCAAAATAAACAGGGAAAACCAACCCAATGATAAATTTTACCAACACAATTTGTCATCTGCACTGCATAGTCAACAAAATGATGTATAGGAAAAGTCCTTCATGCTATTCCTGTTTTGGTTTTGGAACATTTTTTTTTTTTTTTCAAAACAGACTATAATTAGTTGAAGCCTACTTGGGCATTCTGTAACTTTTCAACAGTCACAGACAAGGCCAAATATTTTCTTTTGAGAGAATGAAAGAACAAGTGAAGTTTATGTAGATGTTATTATCAAGTCAAAGGTTTAAAAAAATGAAGTTATAAAATCTACACCCCAGCAATCTGGGATCAACAAAAGAAAAATGATAAACTTTATTTCAAAGTAACTATATATAAAATGCAGATCTGACCTCTGGACAACAATTTTTTTATTATTATTAGTTGCTCTTTGTTACTGGTTCTCTATATTGCCTGATGCCTTCATTCAATCTACATCCGTCAGCCCAACTCGGTTACTAAGAGACCAAGGATCAGGCGTGACCAGGTGACCATCTGCTAAAAGCCTTTATGTTCCCAGTTTTCCATCATTTAAAAGGAAGCAATCATATTGATGCAATTTTTGTATTTACCAACTGCAGACCATACAATTGCACTTTACTTCGAGAAATAGTTCTTTGAGTTATCTTTCAAAAGACATGATAATATAGAAAGTAATATTTGCTACTAAACTGCTGTCTTCCAATTTTGCAATTTTTATCTTCATCAGAAAATAAAATTCAAATAGCTTGGCACTACTGATTTTTTTACAAAGAGATGCTTCAATTAGTTTTGCCTGGTCGGTAATTAGCCTTCTCCTGTATGGTACATTTCAAACAAGTCTGTTTTTTCTCTCATGCACAAATAAGCAATTTCTAGTTTGTTTCAGTTCAAGTCAGTCTATTCTCTATTATTCATTATAATACCAAAAATATTATTCACAAATATCAAAGCCTCTCCACAGGCCCCTAAACCAGTGACCCAAATGCCCGTTTTATATGCTGAGGTTTAAAATATTCATTCCAATATCAAAATCAATTGTCAGCAAGTTTTAGCGCAAATAGAATAAATAACCCTTTACAGAATTATATGCATGGTAAATACAATTAAAAACCCTTAAACACTTCCTAGCTTTCAAGTGATAACAGGACTAATAATGGTTATCTAAGAACATTAACCTTTTCAAACCAGGTAACATGACCATGTTATGAAAAAATCTGGCTTGAGGGGCAAGTGACATGAACATGCCTTCATGAGAAAATCTGGCTTTAGGCTGGGCGACAAACCTGCAGTCATAAGTATTTCGGCTAAAGGCCGGGGTGACATGAAAGACTCACCACAAGTACAAAAACGTCAAATGGGAGGTTCATTAGACTCGTTTGGAGATTTTGTGATATTCCCATCACTGTATAAGTGTGGAATATAACGTCCATGAGCTGTGACTGGAAGAGCACCGGCTCCAAGTAGAATACCATTCCAATGCTCAGCATTTTATACCTGGTGCTGTGACCAGAAACGCGGGTTCTATTACAGAAAATTTAATATTACATGGAAAAAAAGGACAAATAAAGTACTTTCTTTTTCTTGCACTGAGCTGTTGACTACCTAGAAAGATAATATGGAGTCTATGCAAAGAAAAGAGTCTATTACGATCTCGATAATGCAAATCAAATATGGACCTTGAAAAATGGCAAAAAAGCCAAACACACTTATGCGTATAAAGAGGAAACAATTTTGCAAATAGGAGGTATTACTGCACATGGGTTCTCGTACGCCCAGCCTAAAAGCCGCCACCTAGCAGGGTAGCCACTCATGTAAGATTAACCCAATGGTGACGGGTGAAGAAAACAAAACAAAAAAATCTACGCTCTAGCAATCAATGGCGACATGCCGACTTTGAGTGCGTGAGTTCGGTACATCAGCCCGAATCACTGGCTTGCCACGATTAGGCGTGCTGCTGCACGCCAGCTTTCGAGCGGTTTGTTTTCATGCCTATCAGTGTCACCCGTCGGGAAGGGGTTAATGCCCAGATTATTGGTTATGGGATTGCTATGATACAACCAGATCTAAAGGGTAAATACACCAAGCCAAAATGAGAAGAATAAATGTTCCATAAACTCTCTTGGGTTAATTTTGCACATCATTTATAATGCAAAGGATTTTAATATCAATATCCAGTGATCAAATTGAAGGTACAAGAATATATGCTTACTTACTATTCATGGAACAAGTTTAAAGAATGTTTTGAATGTTTGAATATAATGTTAACCAAAAAGTGCAAAAAATTATGGTGAATAAGATCAGTATTATGCCCTTCACAAGTATAGAAATTGAGGAAAAAGAAAAATATGTGAGCTCTGCTCTCAAACAAATGAATTATCAAATTACAATCAGCAGAATGGGAAGAATGTGTAGCATAAATTCTATCTTACAAACAAGCATACATTTTTTTTTGTAGTTACATTTCTCTCAAACAAATAAAAATATAAACTACCTTCAGTGAAACCATAAACATTTTCCACACACCTTGGTATTTTTGTACTTTTGTTGCCTGTCAGTCTTTGCTAGCGCAATCTGTTCCTGTTCCTGCTTCTGACGTTGTTCGGCAAGAGCTTCTTCATAAGGGGTTTCTTTTGTGCCCAAAGTGGCGAGTAAATAGACCACAACTGTCAACACCACCACAACAGCACCAAGCACCAGTACATCCATGGTCAGCAGCACTGAAATAAGTAAGATTAACTTTTATTATGCAAATGAGGAAAAAAAAATGTATCCTATTACAAACAAGAGCTTACACATTAGGGTTGGGCCTTTCACAAGTTTCTTTTGTCACTTATCTTGGACAGGACAAGATAAATTAAAAATACATCAAATACAGACAAATATCTTCTCAAATATGCCATAAGAGTGGAAGTTCTGCTCTACTCCTGTTTTTATAAATATCCTTCATACTGAAACAGGTAAGCTGCAAGTAGGGACAAAGCCAGTATAAGAGGTCCTTGTCCAAGGTCAACCACTTGGCTAGTCATCACTATGGTTATGCCAGTGGATTCTTCAAATTAAATCCCTACTGCCTACCTTTCAAGTTTCAGCAAAACACTGAATTCCACATCCAACTAAAAAAAAATCCTTGAATAGTAATATGCTACCTGGACTATTTTTGCAGCAATACTTGGAGACTGAATTCTATCAAAAAAAGCATATTCAAGACTATCCTACTTTCATATCTTAACTGCTTAAGAGGTCTATCAAATACACAAATTTTCTTGCAAGTACATTCCATTACCAATATAGAATATTTATTTAACTATGGCAACAGCGCTAAACAGGTATATCTGTAGGGATGCCACCCGTGGCAATGGCAATGGCTGCTGAAAAAGCCTGCACACATGGAGTTAAATTTGTTCACTGAAGTACCAGGTCTATGATTATTAAGGTGATTTTTGGTGGTAATAAAGTCAAAGCCTTGTTTAACTAACTGCAGCTTACAATTCTATTACAGCTGCTTTTCTTGTTGGGAATGACTATAAAGACTTGATGTTTGACAACAAAAATGCTTAAATAGGCAATTTCATATGAAATGTGAAATTTTTGGATTATCTTGTCTACTGCAATTACTCAGTTTTCCAAGAGATGAGAATAACAGAAAACCACTTTAATCTATCACTAGAATTATTTTTGTTGCACAAATTGTATATCACTAATAACATTCCTCATCTGTATTCAACTCCAGTAAAACAAAGTAAATAAGATAACTATACAGTTTTATTTGAGTCTGATGAAGTACTACTGTTCATTTTAGCAGTCCATTACATTTTATGGGCATTTACTTTTTTTTTTTTTCTTCTTTTTAGAGGGGTGTATTTTGTGTTGTGGTTCTCCTCAAAACATGGCAGTATACACTGGGATGGACTGAGATGGCAACATCTCTGGAACATTGCCAAGGAACAGAAAAAAGTTTAAGGCCAAGGACTATAGTTACCTAACATGGTCAAACTGAAAAGCTTTATTTTACATAGTTTATTAACAAGATCTCCTAACCCCCCTTTATCTGTGACACTGACTGCACATTTTCCCTCTCCTTCAATAATTATCTTGCTAATAAATACGAGGTAAAGGGGAATCACTATGAAAACGTTAGTGAAATACATTTCATATTTAACTCTCCATTGTCCCCACCTCTAATATGCAGAAATTTAAGGTCATTGTGCCTCATGGCTGAAAGGTTAACAATACAATATGAACCCAGGGACCCTTCATCTCATGGTACTTAAAAAAAAAATAAATATCATTGGCATGAATGACGATCTTCGCAAGTTATGAACTACATTTGAAAACACACACACTATTTTCCATCAATTTTCAAGATACTGAGATTGTATATAATGCTAACCTGGCATTACTATTTTCTCATTTACATTTTAGTTCACACTTCAGGAGATTCAAATTAATATTCCAAGAGACTAGCATGGTCTGCAGTAAAAAAAATTGTCTTTTTCTAAATCAAACACTGCACCCTAAACCCTTGGTATAGATGCCTTTGAGGAGATTAATCTTAGTCAAATAAGATCAGCATACCATTTCTGTCTTATTAGCTTTCCTTTTATAAACAATTATTGGTGACCCTAAAAAATTACCAATGAAAAATGGAGAAGAATGGCTGAATTCACAGATTAATTTTTTTTCAATAAACTTCCTATTCATAATCCCAGCAGAATGCAATTAAACAATGTTAATGCCAACCAGCTGAACGCTCCTACCAGGTTGGAAAACCTGGATCCTTATAGCAAAATTTATTTATACTGTTTGGCAGGAACATGCTGGCCTGATCAGAGTAGGTTTACAAAAGTATACTTAGGCAAACCACCTTGAAAGGATAAAACTACTAATTTCATGTACATAAACAAGATGTATTGATAAATATTCAGAATGCATACATGCATCCAATCATGACAAAACTGGACTGATGGCTTACCCTCTTCCTCTACTACTATATACAAGATTTATGCCATGGAATCCCCCAATACTCAATATACTTGGCCACAATAGTATGGGAGGTCATGGCCATCAGGGAAATTGCAGGTTAAAATGTAAAATATATGAAGTATGTCATTAAATTTTCCAATGGTGGATAAAATATAAAAGATGAGGGTCACTATAACATCAAATACAAGCAGCCACTACCCATAAACCCCGCCCTCTACATATCTATGGCAGATTGGAGAGTGACCAATCAGTCATGACATAATAAATTATATAAGCAGGTTTTTTTTCTTTCTTTTTTTTTCTTTTCGTTTCAACTGGATAGAAAAGGATCAAGATCCTGGAAGGCATCTTAGCTAGACTGTGTGAAGAACAAGGCTCAAAAATGATCCAGCATGAGATTGAAAAGTGGTTGGCCAAACCCACTTGTTGCTTTTTGTTTTATCATCATAAGAGAAGTAGTTATGAATCTGAAGATTATTTTAAGCAATATCAGCAATCTTTGTAGCTTGTTTGCTCTTAATGATGGGGACTGGAGGAGGGGGGGATAGCCTCAAGGGGTGGTTTCAGGCACAGCATCCTGCATTAGATAAAATTGGGTGTAGAGTTCATTTTTCTTATTTCACCCTGTATGTCAATCCTGTCAAACCTCTGGAGGATTTTGTATTCCAGGGAGGGTGTTGAGAAGGGGTAGAAGCTTACATATTATAGTAATCCTCATGTATGCTGTACAGTTCATTTGGCATATTTACCTAGCAATTTCCTTTGTTATCCATCATCCCTTCTCCCCTACTATCAGGGCCAATTTTGTGGGGTATGGCATAATTCCTATATATACAAAGTATAGAATTTATATGACAGGGTGGCCATAGCTATTTTCAACAATTACCAATATATTTGATATCACTTGGATAGTAACAAGTTTGAGGAAAAACAGCTTTTCACTTTTACAATGCATCTACTTATTCCAAGCAAGACTTCAAATCTCAACTGTCCAAATGATGATAATTATAACCCAAAATATAAAGCTAAGTTTTATTATTAGTTTCAATATAGGAGTGAATTTTTCAGGGGGGAATGGTTTTATTACTATTCAAAATATATACAAAAAAATACAAAGTTCCCAAGTACCTAAAATAGTATACTTTCACTAATGTCCTGCACTTGAACTCTCATTTGCATTTATCACTATATTACCACATTCTATTGAGAGCTCCTGGCATACTTCATGCTGTTTACAAAAAGAGTAGCATTTGTTCTTTAACACCATAAATGCTTTTGAGAGACTACCACCCCCTACGTAATTTTAAGGTGAGCTAAATTTGACTTTCTAACAGTCCAATTCCAACATCTAGGTTGCTCTTCCACTCACAAGGGACATTTGTTACTAGTTAACACCAAGCAAAATAATTAACTTTGTAGCAATAATATTTGCTAATCAGATGAAAATTACTATTCAATGATGAAACTCAGATCCAGTCTTGGACACTTGTTGATTCTAAGAGCACCTTGAAAATACTCTGAAATTCCATTTACTCAGATAGAAACACTTGTCACAATTGGCTTAGAAAAATTAGTTTCATTTACAAATAGTCACAAAATGTTGTCTAACAGATAAAGCTATTTCAAAATATCTATAAAAAAAAATCAAAATGGAGACAAATGCAACTAGTCCTCCCAGTAGTATAAACCTTGAGATCCCTAACCAACCAACTAGATTAATGCTGGGCACAATTACCAGACTAGTAACACCACTTTTTCTGTTGATGAACAAAAGATTCCGAAGTTCAGTCACAGTTATTTACAGCCTGAAGTGTTTATAATCAAACTAAAAACCTACCAATAAGATATAACAATTAACAAAAACTCAGTGTGCAATACTGGAATAAAAAGAATCACTGTATGACCAGAACCTGAAATATTCATCCAAACATCCTTAGAGTTTTCACAAGATATACTGGACCTGTTGAATGGTCCCACAGAAAGTAAGATATCTTATGGTTTTTCTTTTCCTATCTACTTATCTATCCAATTACTCATTATAATTATATATATATAAATATATTTCATATGTATCATGTATTGAATCATACATCACATACTTTTTCTACTTGATAAGAATTTGTTTTTATTCAATGACAGCAACAATGAGAACTTTCATTTCTATGTCAGTTTATATCAAGGCTGCTTTGGAAGCAAAGACTATACAAGCTCAATATGTAGAATGTACATACATGGGCTCTAGGCCTATCCTACCTTCTGAAATGGTTTATAAACAGCCACTACATTCTGGCAGGTCAGCTTGTCACCCACTCTGAGTTTGAAGTTCCTTAGCTTTCAAAAATATACGGGGTGGGGGTTTGTTAATCCTTTGCCAGTGTATATACATGTGGAGGTTGTGATAATCACTTAAAATTTTGCTACTACAAGGTTACAGGCAACAATATCAACTTTCCATCATTACATATATATATATATATATATATATATATATATATATATATATATATATATATATATATATATATATATATATATATATATACTTATATCTATGTATGTATATATATATTATATATAAAAGATTACAATCTGGATGGGGGGGGGGGGGGGAGTCCAGTATGAGAGCCCCTGCTAGCATTATTCATTTACCATACAATTTATAGACTGATAAAATTTAGTGATAAAACCACAGTAACCCTAGCAATCACAATGGGTTACATGGCTGTCAAACAATACTGTATAAATATACACTGTCAAGATAAATCTTGAAGACCACTATAATGGTCTACAAGTTTCGTTTTGACAAACATGGCATACCCACACATTCTTGCCATGACACAGCTATTTGAAGGTTATTGTTTTTTGTAAGGCTGCAAAAAAACTTAGACTAGCCTACGTAATTGCTAAAATAAATTAGTGCATCAAAATTTTACAAGCTTAAAACTAGAAATCTAACTAGAAATGATCGTGAATAATAAAAACTCGTTCCTAGGTATATGGATTTTCAAAAGTGATTTATACAGGAAGGGTTCTACCTAAATATGCTTGAAAACCTGCTGTGATCTGTAAAGAAAGGCCAACAATTTTAAACCCCAACCAAACAGGGATGCACTGTTGGGCAATAACATGGCCTACATGCTATCAGTACTCTGGCAATGACCAAGATTCTACCAAACTGCAAAGTCTACATTGACAAGAAAATACTGACTGTATATAATAAGAATAATGAAGATAGTCAACCAATTCTACTGTGCCAGAACTTACACAGTAGAGGTTTGATGGCCTGTTAGTGTGGAGGTCATAATGATACATGGCTAAGGGAATATTGTTCAACCTTTCAGTCCTCACAAGTGTATTGTATGTAGTGCACTTAATCTCACGAGAGAAAAAACTGCAACTAACCACAGAATCAGGAGGACTGATTCATCACATCTTTAATCTAATTGGATAACACACACAATGCTTATGTTTTATCTCACTAAAAACCTGGTTTACTAGTTTCTCTTTTGAGAGTAGACAAGGTATAGTTATTACTCAATGCAAGGGATTTTAATATACATATAACTGCATTTATGAAACTGCATTAAATATCAATGGCAACAAGGTCTGAACATGTATCAATATTTATCAACACTTATTAAAATCTAAACATGTTAATCTACACAATTTCCTCCTTTTCCTCCATACTATTCTCTCACCATAGTTTTTCTTGCTTCAATCCTACATTTATATTGCAAGCGGCATCCCCCCCCCCCCCCAAAGAGAAAGGTCTTTGCAAATGACCACATATTAAGTACCTAAGGCCTGGCTCAATATCAAGAGCATGCCCAAGAGGACTAAGTAATTATCCAAAATAGGACCTCAAGCAGGGCCATGGCATTCATACTTGAGGTTCAGGCAAAGGCAAACAAACTTCAGAGTAGAAATCAGGGAGATCTATATTTTCTGGTTTGCTTGATCACGTATAGGTATGGTAAATCTTTGTCAGGGTACAAATCATGTAAGCATAGGAGCACGGTGCTTAGCTGGGCATGTATAGTTATGCCGACTTTGATTCGCAGCTGTGGCATTGTTTTTACATTGCAGAATAACCCTATATATCTTTCCTGGACAAAAGCCAGGACCGTATTGACTACTATTTACACGTTTTCAAGCAGGTTATCACAAGTCCCTTCACGAGTAAAACAGTCCAGGCCCCTAACCTCTGCATTATTAACATCCTACACAGGCAAGACATTACCAAAGCTTTCCTACTTTCAACACTTTCTGTCAAGGGAGGCACACATCCATCCGAGGAGGAACTACCAACTCGCTCTCCGGAATCTTATCCCAACAGATGACACTTCCTGAAGCTGCTCTTGGCTCCCTCGTCACTTCACTTCCTTAGCAGGCCTTGAAGTGCCTCGAAATGCAGTCACTTCCCCCCCCCCTCGGAGCTGAAGGGGCCACTACACCGCGAATCCAGGACCTCACATCACACAGCAATTTCTAGACATATTTCTCTTGCTAGGTAAGAGCAGCTGCACGGCCCCAGAGAGTCAGGAGGCTCGCGGGGAGGACACAGCCGCGGCAGAGAAGGATAGGCCTTCCTCCAACTGCATCTAAAGAAGGATAGGCCTACCTTCAAGTGCATCTAAAGAAGGATAGGCCTACCTCCAGCTGCATCTGGTCCTGCACTCGAGGCGCCAGCCACTCTGGGGCCCCGAGGAAGCTACCTTGTTTGGTTTACCTATTTCGCGATAGATCACTTATTCCGGATTCCGAGGGCTATTCATCCCACCGCGAGTGCCGTCCAGATGGGCGTGCCACGGCGAGTGATGAGCAAAACACTTGGGCGGCCGCGCGGATCCCAATGACTTTGACAGGCCGGTGCTGCGGACCTGTCTGGCCGCCACCCACAGATTGCCGCGATTTCCTCACTAATTATGCGCGACAACCCCTCCGTCACTGAGCATAACGAATGTATGCACTTGTCTTACCTTTCTGACAAACGTGGAGGACTCTAGATCACGAATTGTCATTAAAAGAGGGCACCACAAGACAGAGAAAGTGTGGGCCGCTCCCTCCCCTGCCTCACACAGTGCACTGGCCGAGCCGCGATGTAACACGCCCCGTCATTGGCCGCTC